GAGAGAGAGTGTGTGTGTGTGTGTGTGTGTGTGTGTGTGTGTGTGTGTGTGTGAGTGAGGGAGTGAGTGTGTGCGAGTGTGAGTGAGGGAGTGAGTGTGTGCGAGTGTGTGTGTGTGTGTGTGTGTGTGTGTGTGTGTGTGTGTGTGTGTGTGTGTGTGTGTGTGTGCGTGTGCGTGTGCGTGTGTGTGTGTGTGTGTGTGTGTGTGTGTGTGTGTGTGTGTGTGTGTGTGTGTGTGTGTGTGTGTGTGTGTGTGTGTGAGTGAGTGAGTGTGTGTGTGTGTGTGGGGGGGGTATGTGTGGCCTAGCATTACTATACTTGTGGGGACCTACATCCGTTTACACAGTCACGTGTGGGGACTGGCTTCCCTTATGGGGACAAATTGGAGGTCCCCATGAGGGGAATCATTAATTTTAGGGTGAAGACCTGGTTAGGTTTAGGATTAGGGTTAGGTTAGGGTAAGGTTAAGGGTAAGGGTTAGGGTTAGGCATGTGTTGGTTATGGTTAACGTTAGGATAAGTCTCCAGGAAATGCATGTAAGTCAATGTAATGTCCCCTGAAGTAATGTATACATGGTGTGTGTGTGTGTGTGTGTGTGTGTGTGTGTGCGTGCGTGCGTGCGTGTGTGTGTGTGTGTGTGTGTGTGTGTGTGTGTGTGTGTGTGTGTGTGTGTGTGTGTGTGTGTGTGAGTGAGTGAGTGTGAGTGTGCGTGTTAAGATTTCCTCTAGAGGATGCTAGAGAGGCTTTAGATACTGGTTTTACAGTTGACCGTTTTCAGAGTTTCTATCAGTTATTTCTTAAACATATAGGACATCAGTGTCAGTAAAACCAATAAAGGACAAGATTGAGTTCAATGCCACCTCAAAAACGTCAGCATTATACTCATTAAAATATAAAAAAAGAACTGCCAAATGGCTATCATAAGGCTTTAAGAGTCTTGAAGAATACACACAACAAAGAGAATTAACTCAATTAAAATATATAAAACAGGAAAAAAATGAATATGTCTTCACCAATTATGTAAAGCTTTAACAATGTAATTATTATACAAGAGAAAAATTACAAATACAAAGCAATAATAGATGTTAGCAGGTCAAAGATAAGCCACGTTTATAGTATATTTGTGAAGGTTTAAATAGAATATTCCCATTTTGTAAAAAGATATTGTGAATTGGGGGAATGAGAGTAATTTAATCCGATTTATTTGCATTAAGTTAGATTTTTTTTTCACATGAAATGTATTGTATTCCTGTTTGATATTGCTGAATTAATTAATTTAGTCTTTTCTTTTGTGATTCTTTGGGTGGGGACATTATTTGTCATGTGTTGACACGCCCTGAATGGTTTCCACACATCTGACCCAGACCTGGTTGGTGGGATTTGAATTGTTATTTCTTTCTCAGACTGTACTTGATTAATGCAAAGCAGCAGCAGCAGTCAGACTGGGACCAGGATCCTCAAACAAAGCATCCATTCACAGGAGCGCTGGGGAGGGGGGGAGGAGGGAGGAAGGAGGAGGAGGGAGGGAGGGGTGCTATACATTTAGGTAGGCCTAAATAAATCAATAACAGTGTCAAAGTCTGGGGGGAAATGACTGTCAACATGCAAAATCATATGAGTGTGTGTGAGTGTTACTCTGAGGATGGATGATAATGCATGATGTCTAATGTGGATCAGAGGGAGGTGAATTCAAAATGAACTGAATGTGAACATATATCCAGCAGAGAGAGAGGGAGGGAGAGAGACAACAAAAGCCGGGGACCAACAAAAGCCCTGGATGCCATGAGGAGAGAGATGCTGCGTTCAGGTACACCCTGTAAACTCCTGCTTCCCAGTGTGCAGGAACATACTGTACAGACCATGTGTACAGACTCAGACATGGTGAGAATCAACACATAACTGGTCCATTAATTCATGTTTCAATATGTAATCTAATTTATAATCATTCTGATCATTGATTCATCGTTTGGGTCATAAACGTGTAGCTTGTCACGTGTGAGGATTTGTCAGTTTTTCTCTCCTCTCTTTTATGTAATTTTACTTTCATTATATTTGAGGTTTTAAGTGTAGGTCTAATTGAAATTGTTGTTTCAAAAAATCCTCTTTGACGGTGGATATTGAGACATTATTTTACAATTTTCTGACATTTTATAGCTTTATGTATGAATTAATACAATATTATTTCAAATTAAATAGCTGTTATTTTTTTTACTGTCACTATATGCATGTCCATAAATGCATGCACGCGCACACACAGTGTATATTTATTTTAGAGATACGTGGTTCTCACAGGTCAGCGACACAAATATATTATCAAATGTTCTTATTGATTGCTGTAGATTAAACTAAGAGCATGACATGTGCAGCAGTAAAATCAGAGTCCTATACAGAAAAGTACGTTAAATCATTGAGTTTTTGTTTTATTGTTGCATGGCATAAACATTAATGCAGCAACAATATTAATCCTAAATCATAAAATCACTGACTTTTTGGGACATTTTTCATACACAGACTTTAACCTCTTAGTATGATTTTGAAAACATGACTCAATCTGGATTTAGTTCTTCAAGATTTACTATTTACTACCTTTACTCAAGTACTGTACTTCCTTAAATGTTTGAGGTATTTGTACTTGAACTCTACTTGAGTATTTCTATTTTATGCTACTTCAAAATTCTAACGCATTACATTTTGGAAGAAAATACTGAACCTTTTATTCCACTACATTTATTTGACAAGATAAGTTAGTGGTTACTTTGCGAGTTCATATAATTAATAAGAAAATTAAATGAATGATTAAAGCTTTTTATAATGGATTGCAGTATAAAACATTCAATCAAGTTATCTCCACCTATACCAGCTGCAAAATCTAAATTATTTTCAGATATCATTTATAATCCACCAATATAATACATAATATTCTGTAAATTGCCAAATCTGCAGAGTGAGTACTTTCAATTTTTGTACTTATTTTGATGTAAATACTTTTGTTCTTTTAATTGAGTCATGTTTTGAATACTTGTAAATGTGTGTTTTTCCACACTGTGGTATTATTACTTTTAATCAAGTAAGATATTTGCTTACTTTTTCTACCTCTGATACGGAAGAGGAATAGGGCTAGAGAGAGATTTGAGATGTGACCAAAAGGAAAACAATATTTGAATTCTGTGAAAAAGTCAAAATTCAGACAAAAAATACAAATTCTATGAAAAAAGTCAGATTTCTTAGATAAAAATTCGGAGAAAAACGTCACATTTCTGAATAAAAGTCTGTATTATTCTTTCGGTTTTCTGAAGCAAATATAATTATTTTTCAAATGATTTTTTTGTTCTTGAAAATCTCGGAATTCTGACTTTTTCTGACTGAGGTTTGATCAGAGTTAAAAAAGAAACAACTTTGTGTAATATCCCAACATGTTTTCCTCATGTGGCTCTAACCCTCCTCCCTTGATTACACCTTTGAATCTTATAAACCCAAAACACATTTTTTCCAGTTGGGTTGAGTCATGTGCCACCTCGACGTCCACATTTCCGACGCGCCCCTGAAGGCAGCAGGAGTCCTCCCAGTCAGATCTGGCTGAACGTGACGTGCCGGAGAGCAGCGAGGTTTCCTGGCGGAGCTGCGGAGGAGCAGGAGCGGGTCTGCTGTCTGTCTGTCCGTGTGTCTGTCTGCCTGCCACCGCACTCTCTCTCGTCTGTCTGCTGTGGGACACACACACACTAACACAAATAAACCTCATATTTCATCGTCTTTCCACGGTGTCAGCGGCTATGGATGCATCGCTGTCCTCCTCCTGTTCTCCCCGCTGTTGGATGCTCCAGTGCCCATAGAGGAGGAGGAGGAGGAGGAGGAGGGGGAGGAAGAGGCGGAGGAGGGGGGGCATCTCATTCTTCGACTACCAGGTGAGATTATTATTATTATTCTTATAAGGTGATATAACGTGTTGGGGGAGGGAGGTGTTGGGGTTTGGGGGGGTTGCACCGGGTGAATGGGTTTGTGTCGAGCCCGGAGCGGAGGTTAGCATGCTAGGCTAGCTGATGTTAGCTTCGTCATCCGCCAGTGTGAGGAGGGATGCGGCGCCGGGATGCTGCTGTTGCTGCAGGAGGGGAGGGGAGGGTATAACGGTACCGTCTGGCCTCGGCCCATCTCCGTGATGAACGAGACCCCCAACCTCCCCGTTTATCCCCCTCTCATCCCCCTCCTCCCTGGTCTCCCATCCGCTAAAAAACACAGCGTCTCAAGGGTTTTTCCATCTGAAACACATGAACATAACGGTTTATACCAACGGCTGTCAGTTAGCCAGACATGCTAACAAGCTAACGAGCCTTCCAGCCCACCAAACCCTCAGGAAGTGAGCCGGACGGTGAAGCTCATTTTAGGTAGTGGTCCAATTGTGGTACTAGAACTTCCGTTTCAGTCAGTGGCATTATTGGGCCCAAAATGACTTTTCCCCATTGACTTACATTCAAAGATTCAAAGGCTTTATTTTCATATGCACAGTAGCTACAGTTTAGATATAGCAAAGAAAATCCCAACCAAAAACTCCCAACAATATAGTGAAAAATACAAGAAAATTGATTTAAAAAAAAAAGTAAAACGAGATAAAAATACAACAAAGAGACAGTAAATATACCATAAAACCTTCAAATGAAATACCATAAAATGTAGGACTCAGCGTATATATTTTTTTAAACGAAATCAACTACCCAGTACAAATACATGTATAACTTTAATTAAGTTAAGAAAAGTTCCAAAATGCTCTAAAAAGCTGAATCCAGAGTTAAGTTTCCCTTTTATATTCTGGATAAATTAAAGTGTTCTATTCAAGACGGAAATACTGCAGCAACCGAAAGATAAACGTTACTACTCTAGCAGAAATATATACATCGGCTATAAGATAAGATGGACCTTTATTGAGCCCCATAGGGTGTCATAGCAGCAACAGAATAAGACAGAAATACAGATAGTACATATGGGATGATAACATGTAGTAATAGTATGAATCAAAATAACATGAGTTTAACTCTGAATTTGAAATTAAGCTAAATTGCGCATGCGCTATGGGCCCACATACGGGTACTTTTGCTCAGTCTATTTCGTGCTTCATTCGCCACTGAGCTACTCTCATAGGAATGAATGGGGTCCCACCTCCACCGCTGTATCCACTTCTCTTTATCCATCCATGTTCCAGCCGGCTAACATTAGCATTAGCATCACCCCTCCTCCACCACCTCCTCCCCGCTAGCATCCCTGGCTAGTTTTCATCCTTTTCCAGCCGAGCCATCACAGGCCACCCTGTCCCACACAACCCTTCCGTTTCACACCGGGACTATTTTATCCCCTTTTTAAAAAAAGCGACTCGTGGGTTTAAACGTCGCACCCAACCAGACATTTATTCGCCCATTGATATAAAACGGAGCACGCCAAGCGGATGTTGTTATGTAACGAGATAATGACACCACACGCCCTTGAAACAAAAGCTGTTGTTTCAGTATTTGTTTGTTTGTGGTGCGGTGCAGGAACCCAAATCCTGGTGGATAAATTGAAGTCAGTTAGTGGCGGAGGTTTGGTTTGGTGTAACCGAGGGCCGCAGCTGTGAACCGGCTTCTGAAATATACAACGACTGCTCCTGTCAGCCATTGTTTTTGTTGTCATCGGAGGGCTCTCATTTGTTCCCAGCCTCGGATCTTCCCATTGATGGTGTGTCGCTGTGCATTGAAGGAACAAGGCCAATTTACCTTAATTATTATTCACAGTCATTAGGGAGAATATCATTGTTACCTAGATAGATACTCTAGTGATGTATGTAATTTATATTTTTGAATTAACTTGCTGCTGATGTTCATTTTTATTTGTATTATATTTAAATCTAATTTTATCTTTTAAATATTTTTAACTCGTGTAATGCTTGACAACACTGCTGCTGTGACAACATAATTTCCCAATTTAGGATAAATAAACGATCTATCTATTAATCTATCCATATATCTATGTGTCTATGTGTCTATCTGTGTGTCTGTCTGTCTGTCTGTCTATCTATTGAAGTACCACTTAGAGGTTATGTCACATTGGGATACATGATATAGTTATTTTTGTAATAAGATGACTGCTTTGCTTTTGTCAGCCATTTTTGTTGTCTTCATTTGATCTTCATTTTTGATGGTGTGTGCGCTGTGAATGAAAGGGAATTAAATTGTAATGGTAATACTAGTTGTGTGGAAATAGTGAATGCTATGGTGGGATTCGGTCAATTTGACTCTGACATAACATTATTTTTGTTGTGGTATTTTATTTTTTAATGTTTAACTTTTTTAATTGAAGGAGTCATATCTAAATATGATTGTTACCCACAATTATAAAGGTAGTACAAGTTATGTAAAGATGATTAGTCTGAAAAAAGGTCAGTTAGACTCTGAGAAAAAACAATTGTATTGTTAAATATCTTCTTTAAATGCCAGGATTCATATCTAAAGGTTATTTCCTCATGGGTAACATGATATAGTCATTCCTGTGAAAGGAAGACTACATAGTCATGCTCTTGTCAGCCATTGTTGTTGTTGTTAACGGAGGGCTCGCAGCTGTTTTCCTTCCCCTGACTTCCCATTGATGGTGTGTGCTGTGCGTTGAAGGATCATGGACCGTCTCGACTCAGAGTCATTATATGGAATATGATTCTGACCCACAATATGTACAATTATAACGGTAAAACAAGTTATGGGAAGATGATGAAATGCTATGGAAGAAAAGGTCAGTGAGGCTATGAGATTGTTTAATGTCTTTTTTAAATACTAGAAGTAAGATCTAAAGTTTATTTCACCATGGGTAACATCATGTGATAAGATGACTGCACAGTCATGCTCCTGTCAGCCATTGTTGTTGTTGTTGTTGTTGTAAGGCTTGTATTTGTTTTCAGCGTTGTATCTTCCTAGTGATGTTGTGTGTTCTGCGTGTTGCAGGAAATTAACCTGTTTACCTGCTGAAATTACAAATGATGTTTTATAGCCATTATATGGAGTGTGATCATTACCCATAACGTATTAACGTGTGCAGGAAATACTAGTTTCGAGGAGATAATGAAATGCTATGGTGGAAAAGTCAATGTGAAAAATAATCATATTGTATTTTTAAATTCATTGTAAAATACCAGTTAAGGTTATATGTATGTGTATATATATAGTATAATACCGGCTTAACTGGTATTTTACAATATATATATATATATACACAGTTAACATGTAATAGGCCAGTTTTTTATAAGATACAACTACAGGTCTGCTCAGTAAATTAAACAAATGTGGCCAGTTTTCCCTCCACAACATCTCTAGCACAGAATACTCTGAAAATACTGAAATGTAAAATTATGATTCACAGTCATTAAAGGGAATGTGATCTTTACCCACAATGCACTGAATTGTGCAGGAATGGCTATAGCCGTGAGGGGAAAAACTCATAATTTATTTACTATATTTCTTGTAAAAATACTAGTAGCAGTAGGACCTAGAGGTTATGACATGATGGGTAACATTATGGGCATTCCTGTAATGAGATCAGATTCAACTTTGTTGTTGTTGTTATGGCATAGAAGACAGGTTCTGAGACAGCAAAATGCAGCTTAGCATCTAACCAGAAGTGCAGAGTAATGTACATGTGCCAAGTGGTGTGATAAATAATACATATAATAGACAGTAAAGGGCTGACATGGATATGCTGGATATATGAAGTATGGACAGTAATGAAAACATGTATAGCTACAGTGTGAACAGTAGGACCTGTGCAGCAGTTACAGTTGTACTGTGATGTAATACAAGACAATCATTTGAGTCATTGTTGTAATAGTGAGACTGAACAGGAAGATCTTTTGAAATATTTGAGCATATGCATCTATTAGTGCTCGCAGAGGTCTAAAGGGACTGAACATCAAGATATGCATGTTAGGCCTCTAATTTGTGATGCTATTTATCAGTCGTCTCCTAGATTGTTTTGGCTCTGAGTTGCTTAGATAATGTTACAGCGCAGCCGAGGAGAACGCCATTACTGTTTACATCTCACGCTGTCATGAGCCTCTCCTCCAGGACGCTTGCTTCTGCGCAGTGATACGGCTGCTGGTGTTGTTTAGTGGAAGGAAAGTAGTTCCTACGTAGAGCTGCTCACAGAAGGGTCTGTGGCTTATCTTAAATAAACTGGGTCATGCTTTTTGGAAAAGTAGAGAGATTTCTAGTTCAGTTATATTTTAGAGAAGGCAGCTGATAACAAAAAGGTCAAATGAAAGAGACTGATGAAGAACTTAGGAGGAGGGTTTAGGGTTCATTTGCTACCTAATTTTTCAAATGTCCTTTTTTTTTCACATTTATCTTTATCATGTTTTTGTCTCAGTAAAGTTTTGGTTGAATGGCCATTTTTTTTTTTTTTTTGTCCATTCATTTTAGTTTCAGTGTTAACATTTGTCTATCTTTTAGTCTTCAGATTACATCGCATTGATCATTCGAGTCAATCTAATTAAGCTGAAATATATCATTGTTTCTTTCTCTCAAGGTGCCGTCTTGTCATTGCTTAGTCATGAACATTTTTTTGTTTGCGGACAGAACTAGTCATAGTTTTCCTTAATAAAATGAACACTGGGAGGGGTGAAGATAGAGAGAAGGTTTGGGAGTGAACCAATGAAAGATGAGTGAGGGCAAGGTAGGAGGGAACAAGGGAGGGTGTGGCAATAGATGAGGAGGAAGGGGACAAGGAGGAAGGGGGGGGGGCAGATAAAGGGAATCACCCCAAACTGCATAATTTTCCTATTTATTATACTTCTCTATACCCCGAGTGCTGTTCGGGCAAATGTTTTAGAAATGATCGTTAATTGCAATTTGCAGATCCATTTGTTCAACCTGTCATGCATGAGTTTAATTTGCATGGATTAAATATAACTTTTAATGATCTCATATCACAAAGAACAGCTTGCATATTGCACATTTTCGCAGGTCAAATACAACCGTGCTGATATTGTACTTTAGAATCTTTTAGGGGCAGATCGTTGGTCAAACACACACAAAGAACCGATGGTCATTCACAATGTGTAATTAATATGGTTGGAAAATGGTAGTCACACACACCTATCACATCTTCCCAGAGACTAAAGGGATATTTTCAAATTGCGCAATTAGTCACTTACATTTTGAATACTTGCTTGATCAGAAAATATTGACAGTAATATATATTTGCAGAAGAAGTTGGGTTAGGAGGGAAGGAGTCAGTGAGGAATGGAGGGGAATAGGAGAGTGTGAGGAAGGAGAAAGGCAGCCAAGGAAAAGAAGGATGGATGATTTGGAAGAACAGAAGGGTCTAGTAAAGGAGGGTCGAAATAAGGAAGGAAGGAAGGAAGGGAAGTGGTATAAAAGTCAGGGAGAAGTAGTTTGAGAGAGGAGGAAACAAGAGCAGGAGAAATATCGATGTGGATTGTTCAATGACTGAGGTACAAGTGTATATATCGAAGGATTCTGGGAAGGGAGGAAAGAGAGGAGGCGAGAGGGGGAGAAAGTAGATGGGAAGTAACGACAGAGCTAAGTAAAGGAAAATGGGTCCCATGGAAGGTTTAAAGGAAGAGAAGAGGAATAAATAAAAGGTTGGGGAAGGCCTTAAGGGAGAGAAGGAGAAAGGAAGAAACAAATGAAGTACAGGACAATATTTGAGGTGGGGCGTGATGTAAGGAGGCAAGGAAATGGGAAAGGAGAGAGAAGATGATGAGAAGGAAAGTAGGGGCATGGGAAGGAAGCAGTTGGAGAATAAAAGTGAAAGGGAGGTTTCCTAAATCTCGGGAAGGACTGAGAAAAGAAAGTTAGGGAGAAGTGGTTAAGAAAGGACCGATAAGGAGAAGGGGAAGAAAGTAATGGGGGTAGGAGGAGACAAGGAAATGATGAAGAGGAAGGGAAGAAGGGCGGGAGTTAAGAAAGAAGGAGGGATAAGAGGAGGTTAAATGTTAAGTAACGACTGATGGAACGAAGGAATTATTTAGCGTGACCGAAAGAAGTTGGTTAAGGTAGAAAGTGTGAGGAGGCAAAGAAGAAAGGACACAAGGATGTGAGGAGACAGGAAGTGTGATTTAAGACTCGGAACAATAAGTGGCGTCCTGCTGTGCGAAGGAAACCATCCACTAACCTGCTGTGTTTGTTTTGTTTCCTTCCCTCTCTCCTTTCTCTGCCTCCGTTTCCTTCCAGGCTGACTCACCGCGGGAGCGCCTGAACAC